GGTTCAAATGGGAAAATACCATGAAGGTACTTGAGAAGGAGTTATTTCTATACCTGCCTACTTTGCAAGTCGAGCTGCTACAAGAGGAACATGGGGAAAAGAATTTCTTTTATTCTGCTACAGTCACTGCTGCACGTTTAAATTCAGGTCAAGAAAAAGAAAAAGCAGCTTACACCTATCTGCAAGTTTGGCAAAGGCTGTAGGTACATATCCAGCTTTCCAAAGCATTGGGGGAAACTCAGCAGCGGGGAGTGACCTCCATCACTTATTGCAAGAGAAAGCAGCACAAGGCACCATTTTTCTCGCCCACCAACTCTCAGTGAAGAAGAATAGGGCTCTAGTAACCTTACATTATTCTTAAATCAGGAAGCTAGCAAAGGCAGGGGAAGGAATGTTTGTGCAAGAAAACAGGCACTTCTTTCACTTGATCTTCCACATAACCAGCAGCATACTAAAGAGCTCAAACTTCTAGAACCTCAGTAAAACAGTCTTTCCTGCCCACACAGACACAGCAGGCTTGGTCTGGAATAAAACCCACAAAGCTGGAAGAGTGACAGTAATAACCCTCCTATAGTTCAGGTTATGTTTACAGTCTCATGATAAAACTAATTTGTATTTTCCATTTTTAGTAAAGGCCAAACAAACAATACTCACCAAATTTGTCCACAGCCTGCACACCTCACACATAAACACTGCTAATTGTCATGTTTAAATGTTCATGTCACCTTCAGACTATCATTTGACTTTATGTTCCCAACAGACAAATTAGGTCTTTGTTCACTCTTACGTGTCCTGGCTAAAATTCCCACCAATGTGCAGTCTGAGCAGCCAGCCTCTTCTCCACAGCTCAAGTGTGCCCTTCTTCTGCTCAAGCCTCCCTTTCTCAGTGAACTCAACACCACTGCCACAATATATATTAAATACTTGAATAAGCAAGCCACAACTGCTGTAAGCAATTAGGAAAAATACATCAACTACAAGGATTTTGAGAAATAAGGAATGAAACAAAAGGCAGAACACAGGTATGTGTTCTGTCACCACCATAAAACACATTTATAGCTTTATATAAGGTAATTCCCTCCTGCTTTAGGTCCTCTCCCCCAAAAGGTAAAATGATCCTCTCTGATCTTGATGGTAAATGTCAGTCACAGAAGTGTGTCTTCCTAGGCAATTCTGCATCCATGGCAGGGGACAAGGAAGTGTTCTGGTTGTTTAGTTTTTAAAGCAAAGATATGAGTGACATACACCCTTTCATTTAGTGCTTTGCACAGTGAGAAAGTTACCAGAAGTCAGTACATGCAGACATCCCATCAGCCTTGGTCATTTACATCAAAAACCAGAGCTGCACGTAAGAAGGCTCCACCAGCATGAACTCAGGAACAAAAGCTGCAAAAGAGACTGTACTCTTTTCCATTTCATATACAGCACTGATCATTGTTGGGCAGGAATGGGGTTGCTCCTACCCTGTCAATCTACTTTAACCATAGACTGGTCCCAATTCGATCACAAGTCAGCACAGTATCTAAAACTTAGAACAGGAAGAGGCATCCCCTCAAGGGCTTGAGCAAGCCATACCTACTTGCACTAGAAAAAAAAAACAAACCCAACCAAAAAAACCCCAAACATTCTTTGCCTTCTTATGGAAAAGTTCCAAAATTTAGGTAATAGCTCAAGGCATACTGGTGTGCCCCAGTGTGCCCAGGTGTGTCTGAGTGTGCTGAGTGTGCCTGAATGTGCCCAGGTGTGCCCCAGTGTGCCCGGGTGTGCCAGGGAAAAAGTGATTGCCCAAACTCTAACCAACATCTGTCAAGCAATCCTCCAGAAATCAAGCTCCATATTAGGAGAGTCGTTGGAGGGGGTGAGCAACCATTAAAATGAAAACAAAACCTTTAAGAAGGGCGACTACAAAGAAACGTTTGCTCCAGTTTTGGCAATAAGCAAGAAGTCCAGACGAATTCTACAAGGTTGCCGAGGTCTTTTAGAGCTCTAAATCATGAGCACTTACACATCAGAAAGACAAAATACCTGTCTCCCCTCAGATCCACATCTCTCTTTCAAACCCTTACAAAAGCCAAAAGGATAAGCTCCTCCCTTACTTGCACTCTGTATCAGAGCCATTTCCGCATTTACGCCTTTCTCCAAACACTGCAGAACTTGCAATTGTATGGTAACTACAGAGATAAGCTGTCTTCGGGAGTGGGGAGGGTCCTCAAGCTACCCTTCATATAAGAACTCGGAAACTTTCAGGTTCGGAAAGGAGCCAGAAAGGAGCAGAAGCAACATTACCCCCTTGTGGCAGCAAAGCAATATGGAAATAAGGTCTGAGAAATCCAAAGGGGAACAGACTAGGTGTTTCGTTTCACTGCTGCTGTAAGGAGAGCCGTGTGCGGCCAGAAAGGCCAACACTGAAGAGAAATGAGATGAGCTGGAGTAACTGTACTACATGTGACCGGGTTCACATCTCATAGCAAGAACAAGGCAGGCGGGACCAGAGTCCTCAAATGAGACCTGATAAAATGAAAGACACAGATTTGTCCCTGGACCCTGTTACATGGGAAGATGGTTTCACATGTCACTTGGGCACAGTGCATCCAACAGACTAAAACACAGCAAAGCCTTTGGTAAGCTCTGCCAACTTCAACAGGTCAAATATTTGCACAGCACAGTGGACTCTGCCTTTCATACACTCACAAACAAAATAAAGGAGTTTATGCAAGGGTTCCCAGACAAGAATTTCCCCACTCCACACAAAGTCACTCCTTTCTGCCTATATGCATGACAAAAGTGTCACCCAGGATGGTTCAAAAGACTTCTCAGATTTTCATGTAACTCCAACTTCAATGTATCTTGTCTGTCAAACTAAATAGGTGACACAAGATGAAAGCATTATGCATTCATAAAATGCAGGCACTGAGTTACTCATACCACAGCCTACAAAATTTGGCCTCTGGAATGAGTCCAGTGGAGTGGTTAGAGAAGTTTAACATAATCAACAGACAAAGCTTCTTCATAGAAGAATAAGGATAATAAGCATTTCCTTGTGAAACATACGTTTCATACAAACCTGCCTGGCAATAGAGCAGAACACACCTTTCATTTGCACTAATGTACTCAAATTTCTAGACAAAATAAACAGTAAAGTAAACGATATAAAAATTGTCCCCTTCATGTATTAGAAGCAGCTAAATCTGTAGAGGACAATTTTCCTCTTTCTTCTTTTCCCTATCTATAGGAATTGTTTCACTGAATAAGGTTTGAAATCTGTTAGCAGGGACACACATCACTACTTGCTCCTTGCATCCATTCCAGAAATACTCTGGCCTGGGTTGCCATGCCAGAACTCAGAAACAAAAATAAATTTATAACCTAATTATTTTCCTTTTTTTCTAAAATCCCCACACTAATTCTGTAGATGTCATTTGTGTCATACTAAAATAGCCAAAGAGAAAATCTGGATCAGTTTTATTAGACAGTATTGCACCATACCTAGCATTAACTGCTGAATTGATACCTATTTCAGCAGAGATGGCTGCTAGATTATGTGTATCACTGTCTTAAGAAGGTGGCACCAGCTCCTCTCAAGCAGCTGACTAGAAGAATCTTCTTTCAATCCCTGTTCAACTTTTCATTATCAACCTGAATTGGCCCACAAAGCAACAATAGCTTTAAGTATTTAGAGGATCTTTTCCCTCACTAAGATTACAGTATTAATATAGTATTCTCAACTCATTTTAAAATTAATAAGTAGTTATAAAAAAATTAAATTAGCTATCATCTGTTGCTCAGTTATCCTTCCTTCATCCACATCTTTCCAACAGCTTCTATGACCAATTTTATGCAGCACATTTCACATGGCAACTTCAGAGATTGCTGAGATTCTTTTCACTTTGATGTTAAAAGTGCGGAAAAGACACCCACAGGGGAAAGCCCCCTACATTTGAATTAACGAGGTCAGCCTGGAGAACCTCAGAAAAGCTGAAGCTCAGTCTCACAAACTTTTGCTTAATGTAGACCATAAACTCTCCCCAAATTCATGCCTCACCAGCACAACTTGAAGCATCCAGCTCAATGCCACACTGCTTTCAGGCCAAACTGAATGTGACTGGACTCCTTGTGTTGCTGAGGCTCCCAGTGACATGCTTCTCCTAACAGAGGTGCCAGAGCTGTTAGTTAGGAATAGTGTCATTACATGCTTATTAATCATTTGTGATTAGTCCAAGGTAATTAGCCTAGGAACCATCAGAAAGAGCAGAATTCTCTCAGCAGAATAAGAGCAGAATTACCCAGCTGACTTAGTTGCATCAACAGAATTCAAAGAACAGCCTTCACTAAACTACCCTGTAAGTAACTTAATTGACCCTCAATGGAAATGGTTTCCCAGAAAGCTACTTCTCAACTAGAAAAGCCATGTCAGGGAATGAATCCTGCCCATGGACAGCGAATGAGAACATACACAGTTTCCAGATACAAATTTTATCTTACATTTTTCAGCTGACCTTAGAATATAGAGCTCAATTGCCCAATGAGGACATCTAATGGAGAGACAAAGAAGAACAGAATTACAAAGCACATTATAAGCACATCTTGGATTCCAACACTAAGAATTAACCAGAGGCTGATAGGCACAAAATTACACCTGGAAGTGTGTATGCAGTTACCACTTGTACCCTCAGGTTTGAAGGCTTATCCTTCCCCTTGTATTTCATCAGCACCTTCAGCATTACATAGCTTCTATCTCAGGACCCTCAGAACCCACCCTTGCATGCTTCTGTAGCTCCAAAGGTTAACAGACATTTTGGACTCTGCCGTGCAGAAGTGGTTCCAGCACTTCCCATTGTGAAAGCACGCCCTAGGTCTGGGAAACATGAAGGTTTGGTGTGAGATGTTCACTCTATGTAAAATTTAGGTAAGCGGGTGCTTGCTGACTTGTTAATAGATTCACAGGATATTATGAGTTGGAAGGGATCCACAAGGATGATCAAGCCCAACTCTTAAGTAAACGGCCTGTACGGGGATTGAACCCATAAGCTTGGTGCTATTAGCACCATGCTCTAAGCCAACTGAGTTAATCTCTCATGTTCTATAAAGAAAACTATAAACAGCTAATTTGAGAATGGCTGAAAATTACACCTGCAGGATAGAGCTATCCTGCATGCAGGATTCCTTTTAAGGGAAAAGATTTCATAAAGCCCCAAGCCCACCCGATGTGTTTAACAAGAAAGGAAATGAAGTTTTAGTTCAGGGAAATTGCCACAAGCATTTAATATCAGACTGCCCACTGCTTCCAGCTTCTTACCTCAGAACTCTATAGACAACCTTAACTTCAGTCAGAAGAGAAGCAGAAATTCCTGCAGCACCTGTTCTTTAGAAAGGCCTGATAACAGAAGCAGGAGATTGGGAAAACAAGAGAGTCCCGAAAAGATTCCCAACAACCTCTGCCAGAAAGGTTTCACCTCACAGGAATTCCTCTGGAATTAAGCTCATGCATCGAACTACCCACTCCAAATCAGAAATCTCAGCGAAAAGCACCTGTGTGCTCAGGTGACCAGGCAGGCAAGTAACCCTTCACAAATGCTACAGCCACTGGAGCAGGCAGCAGCAACCACCACGGATGACAGGCAAAGTGACACAGAGATTTAGTCATAAGACTCCCATTGTTTGACTCTGGCAGGCTGAGCTGGATTGAATTATATGCCTCAGGGCATTTTTAAATTATACAGTTACTACAGAAAAGATCATATCTACATATCCCACTATATCTCATTGTCCAAGTATGTGCCAACTGCCTGATCAATAAGAAGGTTATTTGCCCCGTTATTTCTGACACCACAGTGACTCATCCCAGAAAACGAGACACAATGATGACATAAGTAGGTACCACTATTTCAAAAGAAAGACAATGCAAGACTTACTCAAGTGCCATTTTGAAGCTAAATTTGTCAGTTCCTTCTTACTCTTATGCCCTTTAATAGGGGACAAGAGGATATCTGACTTAAATTAACAGTAGGTAAATTCAGGTCCAAGAAGTAGCTCCCCTGTAATCAGCTTGAGACTCTCAAGATGGCAGGCTATTAAGAAAAAAACAAAACTGGGGCAAGGATTTAGAAACAGATTAATAATTTTATGACCACCACCACTTATTTGCTATGCAACTACAGCAACAAGAAAGGCAGCCACTGTTCCAGCCTCAGTATAATCAGCTTATCTGCATGACAGAGGAAAGAATTCCCTTTCCTCAGGCATTCCTGTGTACAAAGCCTTCTTAGTTACATCTGCATCCAACCTGGAAATTTTGTTTTTCTACAGCTCAAACCATCTGTTTCAGAGAAACAGCAAGACTTAACCTTTCCTCTGGTGAGAGCACAAACCACTTGACAGAGAAGATGTGAAACTGAAACCCAGTCTGGAAACCCTATCCAAAGTACCAAGGTAGCTGTATCATCCACACAAACCAGCGAAGACACTTTCACACAAAGGACAAGTCTTTCCTGATCCAAATTCAATTTAGCTTATCCAGTTTCTTGTACCATATCTGAAGCAGAAGAAAAATATCCTTAAAAAAAAAATCACCTTCTTCAAAAAGAAGACAGCAAAGCCCAAAATTTCTAGTGATTAGTATGTCAATAACCAGGTCAGGTCAACAGGAGCCACTTTCAAAACTTACCTCTCTTATCAGGGGCAAACCAACTGCATATACTCAAACCACTGACAAAGAGCTTTGACTTTTTCCCCCTCTGGGCAACACTGAGAAAATTATTGTTAACCTTTTTAATTTAACAACTTACTCATGCCCAGTTTCCCATGCCAATCCTGGGCAGATTCTCCATGCATAGCATGTGATGATAGGGTAGGTGTGATAGGAGGCACAAAGGACAGCATTAATGCATCCTGAGTTTCCATGCTTGTGCAAAGTCTCAGAAACACCAGGAGCACAGTTCACCCCAGAGATCTGCTGCAAGAGACCATCCTTTTGCCTGTCTGTACTAGCATTGAGAGGTCCAGTCTCTGCCCTAACAATCTTCAGAACCCATCTGCAGCATGACAGTGGCAGCTATAAACACATCAATACCAACATCTCTATTTTCATCTACATGAATAGCATACAGCCATATGAGAAAAAGGTTTTTAACTCTGAAAATATTGAAAAGACTAGGTGGGAAAGGTTTAAGAAAAAATAGAGGAGGAAAGGCAAGCATGTATCTTACCTCCTGAGTGAATCCTCCTCTGAGCTTTCCTCAGGCATTTCCTGGTTTAAGGCCTCCTGTGATACATTCCCAGGTCTGCTTGAAGCCGACTGGCTGTAAACTCTTTCCCAGTGCCCCGTCTCCTGGTTAAAGACCACTCCCACGGTCCTCTCCTCCTGCGGGGTGGAAGAGCTGCCCAGCTGCAGTCTGCTAGAGGCAGGAGCTCTGCCCTCGGTTCTCTCTGCAGGCTGCACCTGGCTGGTATTTGGAGGCACACCCTCAAATGTGCTTTGGACCTGCCCTGGTGTGTAGCTAGGCGTGCTTCTTTCCCAGCGCAGCGTGTCATTGTTAAAGGTCAGCAGGTTATGACAAGCACGACAGCGGTTCAGGTGACCCCGGGACAAATTGGAATTGTTTTCACTGCTTTGTGGAGTCTGCTGATGGGAAGGACCCGGTCGATCAGGCTCAATGTTGTTGTTGAGCATTTCTTGAGCCTGTTGCGACTGGCCAGGCTCCCCACCAATCCCCTGATCTAACTCCTGAAGCCGGTCATATTCCAGGAAGAATCGCCTCAAATCACACTGGAGCTCATTACGAATGCTGGCCGGATTGCTCGGGCCAGCACTACTACCACTGTTCACCTCAGCCCCTGGGGCCAGAAAGCCCCTCCCTTCTGTTGCAGAGGTATACACTGATGCCTGGGAACCTCCCTCCTGCTGTCTGAGCACGGACAGCAAGCTCACGGAGGAGGCACTGGTCCTAGGGGGAGGCATGGCTTCCAGCTCGGACCGAGAGCTCATGTTCAGCACTGTCCTGGACCAGTCAGACCCACCCAAGCCTGAAGCCATCTCTCTCGCAGACTGTTGGTACCGGGACTGGTGGCCTGCCAAGGACCCGCTGAGGGACCGCCGTGTGGGGCCCAGGCTAAGGTTGCGCAGGGTGTTGCCAGCAGTGCTGCTCTGAACTGTGCTGAAAGCAGAGGGCCTGTTAAGTATCCCCTGCTCCTCCTGCGCTACGGATGCCTGCTCTGGGGGTTGATAAGGCTCTGTCTGCACAGAGGAGAAGGAAGTGCCAGTGGCCCCAGAAGACGTGGAGGGTGCGTTTTCCTGGTGTGGGAAGAGAGAAGAAGGAAGTCTTGCACTAGAGCATCGGCTGCAAAGGCACAACATCCCCAGGTGCTGGCAGCACTCTGCTGTGGGATAGCTGACTCGCTCCCGGAGCCTGTTATAGACAGATGCCCTTGTGCTCTCACTGGCTGGAGGCGGAGGTGGTGGTGGTGGAGGCGGTGGAGGGGATGGGGTAGCAGAGTCTTGAACACTGTTTTGCTCTCCCACCTGTATGCCAGAGGAGCGGGAGGACAACATATGCAGGAAGTTGTGCAGGAGGGGTGTGCGCCTCACAGGCTGAGATGGAAGGATAGCGCGCTGGCGATAATGCGGCATCTCTGTGCTGTCCACGGAGATTTCCACTTCCTCATCGCTCTGCAGAAGGAAACAACATTCAGTCACCTCAAGGCAAAATCCTATACTTCCAAATAAACAGCAGAAAGTCAGCTACCAGCCTAGACAGAAAAAAGGATGTGATAAGCCCCTTCCTGAAGGCCTTGACTTTGGAGGAAACAGTTGAGATGATTTCTAAGTTCATTTTATGGATCTAGACAACCTCTTCCTACAGCCCCGTGTGCTTTCACAATACACTGTTCATACAAACAGAAGTATCAGTGTCTGAGGGTCAGAAGCTGAGGGGAGAATTATTAAAACCTCAAATAGCTTCAAATCCAAAAGAACATCGCAACAGAACTGAAAGAACAGGACCACTGAGACCTCTGTCCCACCATTAGTCATACAGAGAGGGTAAAACAAACACATTGGAAAGCACTTTATTAGCCATGCACATAACACAAGAATATTCATGTGACCAATCCAGGTGACACAGAACTCAGCTTTAGACGACTTCAGGTTTTCACAAAAATACAAGTCTGCTTAGAAACAGACTAGGGCTTAAAGTACATAGAGCACCTTGTAATTAGCCAGTCAATATAAGTCCTGACATTCCCCTTACCTGCTGGTTGGAAGGGTTAACTATCGCTGTGAGCAAGTAGTGTCCCAAGGGATCAAACCGTACCAGCCTAAAACAAAAGCAGTGCCAGAATATCAGTCATCAGTTCACATTCCACATTGACACAGGAAGCTGCAGACAGCAAGGAAGAAAACCCCACAACATATTTGCAATGAGAACATTACTACATTATCATCATCATTTTATGAAGGATGTCAAAAAGCTTATGCATTAAGAAGAACAAAATGTACCTATCTAGATGAAGACTGCAGTTATTTTATAGTCCACAGCAACACTACAGCAAAGTTAAAAGCTGGAAAGAAGTACTGCTGTATCAATTGAAATAGCCAGAAAATTTAAAGGAATACACGTGTTTATATTACAAAATTGATTTGGTACAAAGGGAGAGATTAACGTTCCTTGATGCCACATCATTGTCTGATTTTAAATTGCTCAAAAGCAGGCATCAGGTTTCCAACAATCCGGTTTCCTCTACAAGTGTGCCAAAGTAATAGCTCAGCATTCTGTTCCAGCAGTTGCTGGGTTTTCTCATCCTTATGGCTGACAAGTTTAATTACTAAGCTTACAAATCAACATGAAGTAAGTTCTGGACATTTAATGGACACATGCCCTATTACAAATATGAACAATCAAGCTGATCTATTACTTTCAATTGGTTTTCTTCCTGTCCACAGAATTGGTTTTCTACCAGCTGAGTCAATGAGCTGCAAGCAACACTCCTTTCCACTGCCTGAGTGCAGAGGGTACAGCATCCTAGAGGAACCTCACACACACTTCCCAAATCTGACCCTTTTTCACATACTAGTGTTCTC